AAAATAGGGAAAAAGTAACACCATATTACTAAAGATTATTTAGTGACATAGGAAACCCACTATAGTGATCTATAGTGGGTTATACAGTGTCTAGTAGGTTATGTATACGTATAGTATTATGTAGGAAAAAAAGATACAAAACCCTGGACTGTATTCTCAGCTGTGTTTTTTTTAAACATAAAGTATGTTTAAATGTGCTCACTATTGACACAAATAAAATAATAGGAGGGAAATAAAACATTAAATGTTATTTTAAAAGTGATTTTTTTCAAAGAAAAAATTTTTTTACAATAAACATACTATTCTTATACTCAGGGAAAAAGGGCACGACTTAAATTTTAAAAAAAATCTAAAGACTCATTTCACTTTTCTATCCTAGTGCCTAGTGTTTGAGTAACATACTCACTTAAGGTATAATTTAAAGGAATAGTGTTATATTCGATAATGTTTGGGAACAAAATCATCCTTCAAGTACTTAAAATGAGGCAATAACCAAAGAGAAACAAAAAATAATCTATTACTTTTTATGGGAGTTAACCATTATTTAGGCAAAAAATTACTTTATATCATGTGATTAGATTTTAATATATATGTATAATAAAGAATTTCAGAGGCATTTGCCCCCAGCATCTGAGAAGTAACTTCTAAACCCTCCAACCACACCTGGTAGTTTATACTACCAAAGAGACTCACGGCGGGCCCCTAGATATTTCACGCTAAGACAATGACTCACGTGGGCAATGGCCATGACAGAAAAACTAAAATGTGATTAGAGGGTTGGGGCTTTGAGCCATGTGATATCAACCCATCCTGCACAGCTTAGAGATTGGGTCAATTGTACAGGTAATAATTCAGTCAGTCATGACTACATCATAAAACTCCAATAAAAACTCTGGACACCAAGGTCAGCAAGATGGCAAAACAGGAAGCCCAAGACCTTACTCCCTCACAAAAACACTGACTTAACAATATATGGTCCAAAAAGACTTTATGATAATGCCAGAAACCAATTAGGAATCACAGTACCATAAGCAAGCTCAAAGGCAAGAACACCAGGATTGAAACTAGGAAGAGAAGCCATTTCATTTCATCTACATCAGTACCGTCCCGCCCCCAAAAATGACACAGCTTGAGATTAAGAGGAAAACATGAGGCTTCTCCCTTGGGAGGGAAAGAGAAGAGTAAAACATATGTCCAACATTCTGGCTTTTTTGGGGGGTCTGTCCAAGGAATTGTTTTCTGTTTCACCTGACTCCAAGTGCTGATGGAAACCCAGCATACTTTGGA